AAAAAAAAAAAAAAAACACATCCAAAATTTGAAGATTAGTTTGAAAAGTTGGCAAGTTGAATTGGGGAGTTGGCAAGATGGTCCTACATGCCGAAAGTGCAGAAAATACCGAGTAAAATGGATGTTGCCTGAACATGTCTAAGAGCAAGTGTGTTGGAGGATGATTTTAGATGATATTGATGATGCTTTTTGGATGATGATGAACATGATTCTTGGATGATGTCGATGATGTTGACGTTCATGACGATGACGAGGTGTAGGGGTGGCTAGTAGTAGTAGTAGTAGTGGCAGTGGTAGTGGTGGTGGTAGCAGTAGTAGCAGTAGTAGTAGTAGTAGTAGTAGTAGTAGTAGCAGTTGCAGCATTTGCAGTAGTAGCAGTAGCAGTATTTGTATTTGGAGAAGTATTAGTAAGTATGTGTATGAGTACGAGTACGAGTTTTGGTATCAGTGCTGGTGCTAGTATGATCATGAGCATTGACACTAGCATTATCATAGGTATTCGGATGAGTATTGGCATGACTTGTTATTCTCACTTTTTAATATATGGGCATTGCAAGTTTGCCTGCTTGCCAACTGCTATTGCCTGAATACCCATTGTTCGGTTTATGGCCACTGCTACGACGTTGATGATAAAAAAAGGTGTGATCATTGCGATCATTGCCGTCTCTGGTGAAAGCCGACCGCCGGAGAACGATAGAAACTGTGTCAGTTTTGCCGTTATTAAGCCGGTCGATCACCGAAAAGCCGGAACCCTAAGACTCAAAAGTCCAAGACCCAAAACTCAAAACCCAGAACCCTGAATCGTCTAAGCTCTGGTACTCCCTAAACCACCAACCTTCACCAGACAAGTCTGAGGCTTGCGGCGGCGGCCAGGTCCACTCTGTCGTCGGAGCCTGGCAAGTGCTGTACCGGCCTGAGGGCCGTTGGCGTGGTAGCAACGCATGGTGCCCGTGGCTTCAGAACCAACTCGAACGAGCCCTCCGACCTAGGCACGGTGCCTGCGCCATTGTGGATAACTGCATTCAATCCCCCAACTATCCTGCGAATTACAGTGCCTTGGGGGCAAAAAGGATTCTCGAGTTTGTTTCCACCACGGATTTGTGAGGCTTGACTGATAGACAGGTGTGGTCAGCATAGCGGAGCCTTAGGGATCGTGCACGTGGATACATCTGCTTGCATGTCATCCATCTGGTTCGATAAGAGCCAAGCTGCCTGAAGCTGCATGGCCGGATGCTGACCTCACTTGCAGTCCTTGTGCTATTTCATGCGCTGAAGCCCGTGATTCCCTTGTAGCACCCCCTGCAAAGACCACGCAAGTTCTCGCCAGACCAACCCCTGCACGTTGCAGGCAGCAATGGGCGGTGCGCCATAGTGACAAACGGCAGCTTCATGGCTCCTCTGCAACTGGTGGATTTCTCCACAGAGCGCTTTTACGATGTCTTGACCATCAACAACATGCAGTTCAGCCCCTGGGCCGCCACTGCTTCACAACGCAATACCTCCGCTATCCACTGCCTGACTGCATGAACTCCAAATCCAACCTCTGCAGCTGGTAGACGCAAATGCCGGATCACCCAACAGGTGGCCTCAGGAAGCCTTCCGGCAACTCGGCTGTTGTGTATAGGGACCCAACAAAAGCAAGAAAAGCAACTACCGCTGCAGAGGGCACGTAGGGTTTGGAGGTCTTCGGATTGGGAGATTTGTGGAGCGTCGTCCGGTGCATCGGCGGGTTTTTTGGCCGAGTCTTGTGAGAAGGGATTCGGTGACGGTGCACGTATATGGAGTGTTTCTAGATTGTGACAGTTTGGGAAACACTACACAAGGAGCGATTTTCTATACTGGGAAAGGAAGCACCCCCGCCCCCGCAACATGCCGTTTCGCATGCAGGCGTGGTGTAGGTTTTTAGGTGACCTAACCTAAGTCTCCCATGTTCACTCCGGCCAGAGCAAGCATCATTACGAACCAGATCCGTTCTTGATGGCCTCACTGCTTCGCAGTTCTGCATGAAGAGCTGGCGGGAAAGGTAATGCAGTGCAACCGATCTCATCAAGCAAGCCCCTAACACTCACAGAGACGCCAACCTAGCCTCATAGCAAGGACTATGCTAAAATTCAGGCTGGAATTCTGTACCGGTCCGGTAGCTGCAACAACAGCAATTCCAAGTGCAACTGCAATATCCACCATGTTTAGTACGACGAACAAAAAACGGCTCTCCGTTTGTTAGGGGTGCCACACTCCATTGGGGACCTAAAATGGGACTTTACCTTTCAGAACTACCCTATTGTATTGTGTTGTGCTCACACATGACTAAGCGTCTTCAGACGACTTCCTGTGTATATACACACGCACATGTGTACAGTTTTATTGTCCCATGTATGTATACAGACATGAGGGTGCGTAGTTACGTAGTTTTCCCAGAAAACCTCGACTTTCCACCTCCTCCATCTCCACCAGCCTGGGAGCCCCTTGTTGAAGCCCATGCAAGCCTCCGCCAATAACTACTCAAGCCTCTGCGTTTCTTCCAGCTGCGAGGCGTCACCCCTCGGGGCACAATCGCCTGGAAGTCCGATGAGGACATCGAGGCGAAAGGTGCTCCAACGACGGTTACCCTAGGCTCTGCAGAGCGCAATGATCACAGGATATTTTGGGTTGTAGGTTAAAGCTAGCTGCATGATGTACAGTCAATAGAGAAGACGTTTTCCACAGCAGCCCTAATTGCAAAACAGTCATGGGTTTCCGTGTTTCGCTCCGATCTGCTCCTAGCAGGTTGGAAGCTTTGCTTGGGGCCAAAGCCCTCGCCACCGGCAGGCTGTGGTGTGGGGGTGCTTCGGGTTCCTGTGGCATATTCGTAGACTTCATTTTGCCTCAGTACTGGTCTGAGTACTCGCTCAAGTCGCAGTGTCCCTGTTCGCAGCGTCCCGCCGTCCTCCTCTGGTAGCAGGGTACTTGCCTTTTGGAACAGTGCCAGCCTTCAGGAAAATGTCACTTCTGCTGGGGTGGGCCAAGCGGTCGGCATTGCGGCGTTGCGATCTGCTGCATGTGTTGCCAACATCCCTCATTCCCGTCCGAGCTGTCGGTAAAGGTGCGCAAACCTTGTCACGGATGTGAGGTTGAGCTTGGTAGGACCCTAAATGCGAGCGCCTGACTTTGGCCTGTTCCAACTATCGCAGGAAGCCTGCAATGAACTGTAATTGGTGGCCGTAGACCCGATGCAGCCCAATTGCAGGGCCCTGCTTGGGGGACCGTGAAGTTCCTCAACTATGTAGATGGACAGATTCAATTTCGGCCTGTTTCATCATTGAACCTTGATGCAGCTGCCTGGAGGTGGTGGCATTTTCTCCGTTCTGGAGGGGCCTTGCACGAGCCTGGCCTTCTTGTGTCACTTTGGGGTTTATGGCTCCCTTGTTGCCCACACCAACGTGACGAGTTTGGGAATTCGGTTCAGGGATTTCTGCGGGAGGGGGTTGCGTGAATTGAAGGCTTCCAGAGGCCTTCGTTTGCCGGGACCTTGAGGCTCACACTGGCTGTTCTGGCTCGGCAGCCCTGCCGCAAAAGGCTTTTCTCGTTCTCACTCGCATTGTTGCTTTGCTGCTTGTTGTGCTCTAGGACTCTAGGAGTTTTCGCCATGTCTTTGTGGATTACTGTCTTGTCAACGAGGAACAGCCCCGCAAACGGAACCACCACGGGTGGGTGACAGGCTTCTCGATAAAGTCCAGGACTTATCATGTCAACCATGCCTCAAGCGAGCACGATGACTGTTGGACATACATGCATACCTACGTGCATACATGCATATACATCATCTCCTTGACCTCATCAGCAACGGCCCACGAGATCCTGGGTAGGGAGGTCGGTCGGTGGGTGGGTGGTGTTAGGTTGCCCCGCCCATGGCCATGACAGGAGGACGAACATGTTACAAAATAAGTCGCTGCGGATCTTCGTCTGAGGGACGCGGGAGTGAGGAGAGGGCTGCCACGACTCGCATGTAATGCCAGCCACCGTAAGGATGGATTCAGAGGGCTGCGCTGTGTCACCGATTCTTGGCGGCATTTCAAGTTTTAAGTATATGACGTAGCAGCAAGGCATTACAAAGATGACTCAATGGTCGTGTCGGGCCGCAGGGCTATAGTTTTTCAGGGTAGATGTTTTGGGGCCTTCTCGGGTTTTAATGTACGGCCTTTCTCGGTGTGCGGCTTGTCAGGGTTCAGCCACCAGTTGGGATCCTGCCGTGCCAAGAAGTTCCCGTAGGCGGGCTTCCCATAGGCTGCGACCTCAGTCCGCACGCAGCCCTGAACCCTGAGACCCTACATCAACGCCCAAATTCCAAATTCTTGAGCCATAAAGTCAAACTTGAAGCCCTTAAGCCTGGAAAGAGCAGCCCCAGGGCCGAACCCTAAGCACTAAGTCACTAAACGCACTAAAGCCTGCAATCCTAAAGCCCCAAACCCGAAAGCCGTGAAGCCCATTCCATGCAATTCCATGCATGTAGTCTTGGAGCTGTTTCGCCCTGATGTTCTAAATCCTACGAAGCCAGAATCCGGACTGTCAGTTCCGTTATTCTCACAACTCTTGTTGCCGTGGCTACTCTGTTGACGGCACCTCGATCTCGGCATTGAGCCACGTGTTACTCCCCAGGCCATTCCTCAAACTGTGTTTCATGATTGCATATGTCAGCCAACGAAACCATGCAGTTAGGGACAACTTGGTCAACTTAGAAGAATATTCGCCAAGTCCTGAAATGCTTGCAGTCTTGTTTCTAGGCGTTGAGATTGTGTCAGCCTGAGAGCCTCGATAGCTGTTGGCCTGCCTACAGCATTTAATTTGTTATTTCGGCTTCGGGTGAGGCAGGCGGTTTCAGCGGCAAGTTTTTGGGTATGGTATAGAGAGCCCGCTCGGGGCTCAGGACACTTGAGTGCCCTAGACCAAAAGCCGTTAACGGCTTGGTGTGCTCAAGATTAGCTCACGTCACATTGCAGGGCCATTTTCTCTGAAGCCCCACTGGGCCCCAGAGGTATGCAAACTTAGACCGCACATCGGGTTTAGGGTTTCAGTTGCGAGCCTGCACCATAACTGCCTATATCAACCGGGACGAGATCAGTATAAATCCCATCGTGAGACAGTTATGAGAGTGGCGATGGCCAAGGAATTATCCCAGCCACTACGATTCTCTTCAAGGCTGCATTATCCAAGTGCTTCGGCAAAGGAGGAGACACCATGTTCTTGTCCGGTAACAGTACGACTTCAGAGCAGTCTTGCCGCGCTTATCTTCACGATCATAAAAGACAGTACCCGTCTTGATGATCCAGCCGTAATCTGAAGCCTTGAACTTACTAGCCAATCAGAGTTCCAAGCGCTGCAAAGGAAGCAAAATAAGTTCGGGCGACGCAGTAGTTGTTTGAGTCTGCTCGGACTGGTGTAGGGGTGTTCCGGGTGCAGGGTCAAGCTTGGAGTATATTGAATATCTCTTATGGCATGGTAGCCCTGATATATGTTGTTCCTGTAACAGCTTTGTTCTGTATGGGCTGGGTTATGACTACAGTGACTCTGCCACGCAGATAAACATGACTATGACCAAAACTATGATTAGCACATATTGCTATTCTTATTATTTTCGCATTGCCGTCTGTCTAATGTGGCTGCAGCAACAGCACCGCCGCCACCGCCACTGCCAGCACCACCGGCACCACCCGCAACCACCAGCACCACCAGCACCACCACCTGTGTTTTGTTGTAATTTCCTCCGGACATCCGGCGGTCTCTTCGCGCAGCTGTGGATTCTATGTTTCGTTAATGTTGTTTTTGGATACAGGGTTCAGCGGCTCAGCGTTTGTTGTTCTGTGTTCACATTTTGTGCACAGGGTGTCAGTGGGCATCCTGTGTCACTGTCTTAGTTCTTGTGGCGAGAAACTTTTCGGAGGCCTTCGTGTTTGGTTGGTTTGGGCATGGCGGGTTCGAGCCGAAATCCGAGAACCTGAGTCTAAAGCCAGACGCCTTAACCAGGTTTACAATCCGGAGAACAAGACCATTGCGGCGAAGGACTTCGTGACTGAAGCCAGCTACGATGCATCTTGTTGTTTAATGCTCCGTCTCCTTGATAAGCGGAAGATTTTGTGGTATTTGCAGTCAGTATCGAGCACAGCCTGTGAGGTTTAGAATGCGTTAAGTGTAGTGCTGTTGCTTGCACCGTTTGGGATTTCGCCCCCCCTGCCCACCAGAGATGGACCAAGGTGCTCTGGGTGAATGGACGCAGATATTCAGGTGCTGAGCTTCGTAAGCGTCGGCAGTTTCAGTCGGTCTGGGCTTGACATGTGCTTGTGGCAGTTTTTGCTGCAGGACACCCATGTGTTTTTGAAGCCCGTGACTCCTTTCACATGTTGATCCGTAAACCCTTCCCCACACCGACTGTATAAAAACCCACCTATCCCAAGCCCAAAGCACTACAAACCCCGTAGGCCTCGTAAAAGCACGTGGCAATTAGGCAAGGAAAGGGCCTAAAGCCTGTGCAGGGGGTTGCAGGTGTTTACAGTGCATGTAATGCCTGAAACCCAGAAGACTCAACACTTCAGCGCGAAGCCCTCTCAGACACCTTAAACCCTGTCAACAGCACCTCTCTCGTCAGGCATTCGACTCCGCAGCGGACCTCAAGCTCAAGCGAGCACAAAGAGTGCCATCTTTGTTGCCCCAGGCGGGGCAGGATCAGCTTTGTTACTGGTAGCGGAGCTTCTCCCAAGAGGGAGGGCTCCAG